ATAACGACTCTCTCTCTCTCTCTCTCTCTCTCTCTCTCTCTCTCTCTCTCTCTCTCTCTCTCTCTCGTGCCTGTTGTGTATGGTTGGTTTCACTGCAAGGTCGAGATAACGAGAGTTTGTCATAACGAATGGCTGGTGTCCATCATCACAATATAGGTCTAGTTGTGTTTCTGTATCATAGTCAGCGTCTTCGAAAGAATCGAATCACGGAGTGTAGTAAACGAGGTCGCCCCCCAGCGTCTTCGAAAATCGGTTTACCAGTCTCCGGAGAAGAGGCGGCGGCCGAAATGCATCCGTATGTTCCCCTTCCTCCTTTCCCCCCATGCTACACACACTTTAGGCTTGCTTACTCTCTGGCTCATCAATCGCGATGCAACAGTGTTTGGCCAATGGATGAGAAGCATGCAGTCTCCTCGTGTTCACTGTGGAACGAACGGGAGTCTTGTCGCAATCTGCTGACACGAATTGTTGGTGTTGATGGTGTCAGAGATGTAGGATGATTTCGTTTATTGCTACACCGTAGCTTTAGTGAATATGTTGAGCGTCTTCGAATCCCTTTTACCTACGTGTCGCCGAGACGTTTCACCAGTTCTGGGATCGGGACAGGTCTGACCTAGGATTGGAGTGACGGGAAAAAAAAAAGGGTTAATTGCAGAAATAGCGCGCCTGTTGAAGTTTCGCAGCAAAAATATTTGCTGGCGGGGCCCCACTTTCCTTGCAAAAATAGATGTTTCGGACCCGTATAACATCTCTGCTGCCAAACTTCAAGAACGCACTATTTTTGCAATTGCCCAAAAAAAAAAAGAAAAAAAAAAAAAAGGATGGGAATGCCGATTCTCACTTTGCAGGGAGAGAATGGAGTCGTGTTTGTTTGTTTCGCCTTGAATCGCGAACTGGTATTATGGGCAGGCAGTTGCTTCCAGAGCCATGATGATCTTTGGCTTTGCTAACACATTTGCATGGTGTCCTGGAAACCGGCTCAAAGTTCCTTCCTTTCTTATTAAATTTTCCTTTTGCTCGCAAATCTTCTGTCAGCCCGCCTGAGGCGGCATACTATGTCCATCCGTGTGGTCTACGCTGCGGGGGAGCGTCGAGTTCAGCGTCTCCGACGGTGTTTTTGTTGCTCCACGTCATTCCGTTGAGACCTCAATGTCGCACTTGTCCTACTGAAGAGAAGGAAAACTAAAATGATAATTGGTAGGCACCGCAGGGAAGGACCTGACGTCGTCCTTCTCTCTCTCTCTCTCTCTCTCTCTCTCTCTCTCTCTCTCTCTCTCTCTCTCTCTCTGTGCGTGTGTGTGTGTGTGTGTGTGTGTGTAGCATCTCAGCAAGGGCATTGCACCTGGGAGTGTGTTGTCCTGCCTTAAACAGAGATTGGCTATCCCTGTCTAGCAAAGGACAAAACTGCTAAGCACACACTTACACTCGCACACACACACACACACACACACACACACACACACACACACACAGAGAGAGAGAGAGAGAGAGAGAGAGAGAGAGAGAGAGAGAGAGAGAGAGAGAGAGAGAGAGAGAGAGAGAGAGAGAGAGAGAGAGACGACGAGCAGGAGGGAAAAAAGAAGGGCAAATTGCAGAAATACCGGTTTGCGAACGTATAGTTGCAGCTTCACCGGGCTGCGCAGGTATGGTGACAAACATAGGGGTTTGCGAGCAGCCCAGCTGTTTTGAGGTATATGTATCTATTCCAAAAAAATACCGGTCCCTAACGTTTCAGTTGCTAATATACCTGGCGGTACTACCTTGTTTTGCAACAAACCCCTGGGCCTTGGCGCCCTTCCCTCAGGCCAGGCCGACGGGACCCCCGTTACGGAAGCAGGCTGGCCTCAGGCCTGGCCAAAGGGACCCCTGTTACGATAGCAGACACCAGCCTGTAAAAATCTGCACAGAAACCTTCGAAAAACAACGAACAACCCCCACTCGCAGGAAAGGCTGGGGCCATTGCCCAGCTTGGGCTTGTTCTGGAAACCGGGTCCATCGTCCCTGTTTTTCCCAGCTGACAACGCTTCCAAAATGATAATGAAGCCTGTTATGTGGCTCAGACGTTCCGAGCCATTATCATGACGATCATTTGGTATCATGACGATCATTTGGTATGAGAGAAATTCCCATTCGTTCCGGCGATCGGGCAAGAAAGATTCGAAGACATCCAGCTAAAATTAAACATGAGGTCACTAATGACAACAGTGTATCTGGTAGAACTGGCACCGCAGGGCCAAGTGTGGCTCTGCTAAAAAGGGGACTGCCTGGTTCTGGAAAATTTGGGAAAAAAACCAAAGTCTGGTTAAGCCAAGGGCTAAAGAAGGCTTGGCTCTTTCTTCTTGGTTAGCCTGCAAGTAGACTTAGGCTAAATGGTTAGAGTAAGTTTGTTCTTACTCAGCCTTCTTGTTGTCTGGCTATAGATACGTGCAAGATTCTGGACATAATTGGCAGACTTGTGACGCTCAACCTCACGCCCTGCGCTGCCTTCCGGTTGGAGCGTTGTGGTTCGCGGAAGGGGCCCTTGAAAGGCAGCGATGATGGGGTTTGCCAAGGATTTTTGGAAAATTGCGTGCGGGGAATCAGACGGAACTGAAATCCCCCGTGTTGGTCCGACTGTAGTAAGAAGAAGATCCATCGCCGCGCGGGTTGTAAGGGAGAAAAAGGCGTGCGCGGGACTCGCAGCTATTGGAAATTCAACCCAAAAAGTATCGCTGAACTTCCCAATGAGCCGTCACCCTGCGTTTTTTCAACCCAAAAAGTATCGCTGAACTTCCCAATGAGCCGTCACCCTGCGTTTTGCGTGAAAGGGGGCGGGTATACATGTGGTATCTCACTTTCGGATGAGGTTGCGTCAGCGCTCGCTACACAACTTCGAGTCCGCCGTGGAGGGCCTCAACCGAGTGGCCTTTTCCTTATGTTTGTCCTCGCCGCGTGTGCGATAGTGAAACCCCTTGGTCTGATGCGGCGACAATCGCTGCACAGAGTATTAGGCCAATGAGGCTCCACTGCCGCCCATGCAACAACGATTCGTTAAAAGTCAATAACAACGAATATGGCGGGAAGTTTGTATCGATGATAACAAAACCCGCACCGACGAATCCAAAGCACCGAGTTTCGGGAGGAAAGTAGTAACTCCCTCCGATCTTGGCGACGGCTTCTCGTACGTCCCACTCACATACACGTGTCCTTTCCTCGTTGTACGGGAAGGGACGCGGCGGGGGCACGGGAAGTTGGCGCCCGGTCGGGTTGGGACCATCAGTCCACATGGCAACA